TAGTATAGTTAAAGCTTAGTAAGCTATAATTAGGCCTAAGTTGTCCTGGATATTAAGTAGATTCCTGATAAAAGATCATGAGAAATTTGTTGGCGTTTCATTTTGACTATAATGGTAATGTGATGATGATGAATTTTATTATATAAAAGTGTCATTTCCGGAGGTACTATTTCCTCAAATTTTCTCACATCAGCCCCAGCCATGTTGGGGCTGAGGTGGTTGTGAAATCACGTTTCTGAAGTAGCCCTATGTAAAGTACATACTCAAAGACAATGTTTTTAAGCTTTTTTTCTATGTTTTTTTTTTCTATGGTATATCACACACACATTAATAAGAATAAGATCTCTATGCTTGTCAAAAATCCCTGATAAAAGATCATGTTTGTTTAATAATACTACTACCAATAGTAGTAAAATAGGAATAATAATAATAACAATGATGATAATGACGATAGTAATAATTGATAATAATATTAATAGCAATAAAAAGTGAAGAAAATTGTGCTAAATGTGAAAAAAAAAGTTGTGATTTGTTGATCATACTATAGTATATATAGTTAAAGCTCAGTAAGCTATAATTAGGCCTAGGTTGTCCTGGATATTAAGTAGATTCCTGATAAAAGATCATGAGAAATTTGTTGGCGTTTCATTTTGACTATAATGATAATGTGATGATGATGAATTTTATTATATAAAAGTGTCATTTCCGTCCATCTCGAGAGGTACTATATTTTAGTGGTTGTGAAATCACCTTTTTGAAGTAGGCCTATGTAAAGTACATACTCAAAGACAATTTTTTTAAGCTTTGTTTTCTATGGTGTATACACACACATTAATAAGATCTCTATGGTTGTCAAAAATCCCTGATAAAAGATCATGAGAATTTCTTTTGGCGCTTCATTTTGACTAATGGTGATGTGATGATGATGAATTTTACTAAAAGTTTCATTTCTGGCCATCTAGAGGTACTATTTCCTCAAATTTTCTCACCTCAGCTCCAACCATTGTGGGGCTGGGGTGGGTGTCGTCTTACAAAATGCCCTCCCCCTCCACCTTTCAAAACAGATCTGTGCCCTTTTCTGGGTATGACATTAAACTCCATCGAGTCGGCTCCTGATGTATGTCTTAGTGACTGCTGTTTTTAGGATGTGATCTGGTTTTTCATGTCCCTTTTTCGTGATTATGACTATTCTGGATAAAGAATGATTTGAGCAGAGGTGGATTGAAGGAAAAAAAGGAAAAATATATTCAAATTGAAGTGCGAGATTGTAATTTCCGGCCATCTAGAGATGCCCTAATCATAAATTTTCTTACCTCAGCCCCAACCATGGTGGGGCTGAGGTGGGTGGTTCTTCGGTCTGTGAAAGTCCCTCCCTGGATCGCCTCTCTATTGAATACCTGGATCCACCATTGTTGAGTTTTATATAACTATTGTTAGGCTCGTCTATTGCAATTTTCACTTTATCCTCTCAAACAGTCCTAAGAACGTTCAGAGTGCGCTACTTCACAGGGGGATTCGCCCCCTTGACCCCGCCGGGGGCATACGTAATTCGCATAACGGCTCCCCCCCCCCCCTTTCAAAATCCTGGCTACGTCCCTGCCCTACAAGCGATGGTCTGATAATGTACTACAGTTAATGACTAAATAAATGTATGCGTGGACATGTGTTTAGTTTAGGCAATACATTTAAGGCACTATAACATACTGTATGCTAAGGAAAATACAGGTCTCCCTCCAATTAAAGACCCCTCTAACTAAAGACCACCTCCAATTAATGACCACTTTTCTGTGGCCTTTTTTGAATGCCTATCTTTTAACATTAGAAAATTTTCCCTCCAATTAAAGACCATTATAAAATAAATAATGATGTTAATACACAAATTTAGGGACAAGAAAATGTAAATCCAGATCATTTAATACTTCTTTGATTGATCGAGACATCTTTTTTCGTAACTTATTAATTGAGATATTAATACATATAATGTAAATCTAAATTATTCACGTTTGTTTTGTATACTTGCACGACCACGTGGCAATAATGTGAAATGAGAATAACGCATAGCCTTATGTAAAATGAAAATAACGTAATGTCAAATAAAAATAAACGTAAGTCGATTGAGAACTAGCATGTCGATTGAGAAATGTCGATTGTGAATAACATAATGTAAAATGAGAATTACATGATGTAAAATGAGAATAACGTAATGTCGACTGAGAACAACAGCATGTAGATTTAGAACAACAGCATGTAGATTGAAAACTGCAGCATGTAGATTGAGAACTGCAGCATGTCAATTGAGAACAACGTAACGTCGATTGACAACCGTAGCATGTCGATTGACAAACAGCGTGTCGATTGAGAACTGCAGCATGTCATTTGAGAATAACGTAACGTCGATTGAGAACAACAGCATGTCGATTGAGAATAACATAACAGGGGCGTACCGTGGGGGGGGGGTCGATGGGTGCGGTCGACCCCCCCCCCCTTTTAAAGAAAGTGCCCTTTTAAATATGATTTTTAAAAAAATCTAGCATAATTAAACTGCGCCTAACACGAAGGTAGTTAATATCAAAATAAATTATCCTTCGCCTAAAAAATGTTTGGTGGCCCTTCCTTTTAATATTTTGATTTTTTTGTCTTTTTTTTAAAACAATCCATATAAATTTATACATTTTTAATCAACTTGATACTCTAAGCCCGTGCGCCAGTGGAGTTGTGTTATGTGGTTACGCATCATTGCACTCTGCCATTATTGTTATCTGTAGCTGCGTGTTTTCCGTGCAGCAAAATAATCTATTCGCGCGC